TTTTATTAAACCTAAAACCCGCAAAATTCTAATCAAAAGAGTACATCCGCAAGTATCTATGCAAACAGTAAGGTTCGAGATGGTTGACGAAGAATAACTGCATATGCAGAGATTGTCGATCACGGTCGGCTCTCATTAGAAGGTAGCGATCATCCATGGTAAGGCTTCTTACAGCTTCAAAGAAATGTGAAATTTCATGGCTTCGCGGTTCGTGATAGAGCAGGTTTACCTAAAGTTGGACGGTTATAAAATTAAAGTGCTAATCTTCTTTTATTCTCCTACTTTCGGTAACTTTGAAGAAATCACCTGACAAATCACTACACCATTGCTTTCATTTGTCTCGGTCAGAAGAAGTTTTACAAAGTCGTACGAGTTCTTCTCCGTTCCTATCATAAGGAGGTCAACCACTTCACCAACTCTGTTCTTTATCAAATTGATAATCCCATAATTTTCATCTGAAAATCTTGTTTGCAATTTTTTTAACATTGCTCGCTTAGAAAATCGATATAAATCTAGAGTGAAGAAACAAAAATACGTACTTGGGTAATCTTCTGTCCTCCTTGTTACAGTACTCAGAGGTAGATACTTCACCCTATCTGATTCAACATGAGTTCGAACATCGGAGATCGCCAGTAGGCGACATTTGTCATTTTCCAACTATGATCAAAGTTTTCTTTCCAAACAACTCATTTCCACAAAAATTTCTAAGGTATTGCATCTCACCAACAGTTTTTCTTCTGCTTCAGAATTCTGTGAGTTTTCCAATGACACTACGTTACACTTAGTTGCAGCAAGAGTCTAAACAAGGGATCAAGTTGATAGACTATCAAAGCTATAAGTGTGAATGATACCGTATACCGACCGTATTCATATTCTGGATAAAGTAGATATTATATTGACCAGGTGTTGGATATGAACGCAAGCTGATTTGTGCATTCACAGAACATTGGTCACTAACAGTTGGCAGAACGCGCCAAATCTAAAACATATTTTTTCCTCATAATCTGCTAAAACCAATTATAGCTGGCAACCAATTTCCGCTCAAAAGCAACAAACTTATTTATGCTCATGAAGTCAATGCTATTTACTAAGCTATCTCTGCTTAAAATTTGCAAATAGCAACAAGAAGAGAATGGATGGAGACCAGGTTTCGCTAAAGGTTGTGTGATATTATTTTTTGTTCCACTGCCCTCTAAGCTATGACTCTCTAATATCATCAGCACGTGAAGCCAGGTAACACTGAGAAACAACCGATTTGAGGGCTAGCTCTCGCTAACGTCCAGAGAATATGAGATTAGTTGTCGCATTCATAGACGTTTTTGTTCTTTTCGTAAGCCGCCATCATTTTTTTATTAGAAGCCATTTATATTAGTATAGTTATAAGAGCGTAAGAACAACAGGGTATTTGAAAATTTCTGAACTCAACTACTTCAGATTCATATTTTGGCTTTTGTGCGACGAGAAACCTAGTAATCGATTACCTTAAGACTGGTAAAACAATCAATGACGCACCCATGTTGGCCTCTTGGATTGTATCCACTATATTTCTTTCGAAAAGACCCGCACAGAAAAAATGTCGCTGCGGAGAAGTATTTTGACTCCAAGGAGGAATCTTTCTACACGAAGAGAATAATGGTGTACAAGACTCTCTTAACAATTGTATTGAGCTTCAGAGGGATTATGTTGAATAAAAAGATATTTTCAATATTTTATTACCTGCATTCATTCCTAGGCCAAAAGCCTATCAAACACGCTGTAGTTCTCGCACAAAACAATTTTGATTTTCTGCATCTTGACGCGTTTTGTGAGAAAAGTTTGATTTTTGAAAAGTCATTGCTAAGCTGCATGGAGATAAGTTTTCTTGATATACCGACAGGTTTTCAGTGCGTTATGTTCTGCCAACTGAGAAGCATGAGCTCGGGGACCAGTTCTCGTACGGTTCAAATCTAGGTTTTGATCACAATCATCATACATATTGTTGTTGATATAAGTCCGAATATGAAAAATATTTTGCTGGTTGCTAAGCAACAAAGCTACCATATTCTTATCAATTGAAATAGCTAGCTTCTTTCTCATGTCGAATTGCTTCAGTAAGCATTATAAAGCTAGCTACTTTCACTACATGTAAACATCCCACACCACCTTCAGGTCTAACGTGGACATTAATCAATATCATAAATAATTTGCCGAGATATTTATAATGTATGATTCCTCGTGAACTAAAAGCGTGTACCTCAAGGCTTATTGCTGACTTTATCTCTCAGATAAGACTGATTTAATAAATCCTAGTGCGGACCTTTTTTTCGAAAGCCAAAATTTTTCCAATATTTTGGTCATGATAATTGATGGTT